ATCTGTTTGAGAAGAAGGTTCCACGGGGTTACAGGAAAAGCGTTTTAGGTCAGAACCAATATTTTGAATTAGTCTTACAAATTTATTGCCAAACACCATGGTGAGAATAATGTTAGCATTAGGTTTCTAAAAGGGTGTTGTTTTTATTTTGGACCAAATGTAGTTTCCAGGTTAACTTCAAAGAAAGACCCAAATAGAGTATGGGATACAGTACTCTAAATGTATAGTAATGAAAAAAGAAAAAAAAGAACTATTGTTGCCCGTAGATCCTGATTCAGAAAAGAACATAAGTGATGCATCAGCAAGAACTGCACTATTATAATGTTGCAGTTGCCATGGTTTCATTTGCTCCTCAAACACAAGATGTGACTTCAAAACAACTCCATAATGTTATGAGCCACGGTGGTGCAGTGGTTAGAATGCAGTACTGCAGGCTACTTCTGCTGACTGCCAGCTGCCTGCAACTTGGCAGTTCAAATCTCAACAGGCTCAAGGTTGACTCAGCCTTCCATCCTTCTGAGGTGGGTAAAATTGTTGGGGGCAATATGCTGACTCTGTAAACCACTTACAGAGGACTGTAAAGCACTGTGAATCAGTATATAAGTCTAAGTGTTATTGCTATTGCTATAATTATGGACCTGCTCATTCAGGTGAAATACAATGCCACCTAGTACACTAGAATTGAAGAGTTCAGAAGGATATATTTTAGTACTGAATACCAATGAGGGGTCAACAAGACCAGGAATGTCTCATCCTCTCCATTCAGATTGACCAATTAATGCAGATTTTATTTCATGGCCAGGTCTGAATCCTGAATAGAAAGTACATAGGTAATCCATTGCAACTAGGATGTTGCCTAAATTGAATGATGAGTTCTTCAACAGAATTGCATCATCACTTCTTTCAAGGTGAATGGTACCCAGGGGTGGGCTTCAGATCCTTTAGCAATGGGTTCGCTGCCCCGTTGCTGGGTAGGTGTGGTCATGGTGGGCATGGCCATGTCAGCTGCCTGCACCACGGTGGGTGGGTGGGGGCTTTTTCACCCTCCCCAGGCTCTGGAGGCTTACTCGAGACTCCAAGAGGGGGACAACCACTTCCCCCTGGGTAAGGAGGCCCTCCAGAGGCCAGAAACAGGCCCATTTCTGGACTTCCAGAACCTCTGGTAGGCCCGTTTTTTGCCTTCCCAGACCCTCCATGCGGCCCTTGCACTTACCTGGAATGATGAACAGGCTACATGGAGACTCCTGGGAGGGGAGGCGTGGGATGGGAGGGGCGGGGTGGGTGTGGCCAGCCAGGGGGGGGCATTTGGGGGTTCGCCAAACCCCAGCGATCCTTGGCTAGAGGATTGCCTGAACCCTGCTGAATCCCCAGGAGCCCATCCCTGTTGGTACCGCTCTCTCTTTCAAAGAGCTAGTGATCACCTCCAGATGACACATGAAACCTATCCTCAGGTGGCAAAACTCAAAGAGCAGAAAACTTGTTCTTTTGACTACAAATCAGGCAAAAGCTAAATGATCCCAGGTAATGTGAACATAAAAACCGAAGTCTGTATTTCATTGTTTCATCCCTTTTTCAAATCTTCATATTGCAGGCGATTAATAGGTATACGTGTAGCAATAACCTAAGGTAATATAATTTTATAAATATTAAATTATAATTTTCATTATTAAAATTAAATAATTGTAAAGACATCATATAATCTCTAAAACGATAATTCAAGCAGATGGTTGTTTGTATATTCTTCCAGGGTCTTTTTTTCATAGTTATCTAATGCCTCATTAGAATGTATTCATGAAATAATAGTCAGGGAAAATACTTGTTTTCACTGTTACATTGCCAAATAACCAATAAGTAACTTTACAACCGAACAACCAATAAGTAACATTTTATTATTAAATAAAACACATGAAAAGTTGCTCTTTTAGAAATAGTTTAATTTTAATAAGCAGCATGTTTAGGGATGTAATTGATGTAATTCTCATTCAACAAATTTACATTTCTGTTGGATGGAAATTATAACAATTTCTTTATTCATATTCAAATTTAGAAATGTAGTGTTAGAGTAGAAATATATGGCAACCTTCAGAATTTCTTTTAAAAAATCCAAAGTTTTTTAATCTTTTAAAGGACATTTAGAAAAGCAAAAAGTTTAATCTAGTTGAATATTCCTGCATTTAAGTATTTCATTTAAACATGAGGCTAACATGGATGCTCAAATTTTGATGTTTCTTGTGGGATGAAGTTTCCATTTATGGAACAACTTTAACATTCTGCATATATTATACTGGAAATTGCCAGAGATTTCTTGCTTACTATCTTCTTTTCTTTTTCTTTTTGAAAAGGAATGTCCCTCTGGCAATACAGAAAGCTTGTTAAAATATATTTCTTGTATCCACATCATTTAGCATGTACTGAGTCAGATATCAAAATTGTAATAATTTTTATTAAATATCTCCTGGCTAGATATTTGTATATGCTGGAAACATTTAAAATGGAAGGGCTAGGCTATTTTTTTACAACACTAAAATAGTAGAAAAAAGAAACATCTATTGAAGGTAGAGGAAAACTGAGAAACAACATTATGGAGATCAGGGTTGGACAATGTATAGGTTACAAGAAGTCTTTGGAGAGAAGAAAGAAAGAAAGAAAGAAAGAAAGAAAGAAAGAAAGAAAGAAAGGAAGAAAGGAAGAAAGAAAAATCACCAATCCCTTTCTCTGTATATTCTGAATGCCACAATTATAAAAAAATGAGCATAACTATATTTAACATAGTTATGAAGTATGTGCTTCCATATTTAACATGCAATGGAAAATGTGCTCAAGATTCTGGCCTTGCCATCCTGCAGTGTGGTGGAACCACCTGTTGTGGTCCGCCAGCAGCCTGCAAAGCTGGCAGCAGAGTCGGACAGTGAGGAGTCTGGGGAGGAACATGGGCCAGTCCTGAAGTCTGGGGAAGGCTCGGATGAGGGCTCTGCGTCGGAGGCAGAGAAAGGGCCATCTGGGAGAAACAGCGGGAGCCTGTTCCCAGTGCAAGCATGTGCAGAGCTGCCAGAAGGCAAGAACAGTTAAGACAAAAGGGATGACTTGGGAGTAGGGCTTGGAGATGATTGGCCCCTCTCATACGACTTAAAAGAGGAGCAAAGGCATGTGGGCCTTTTCAGGAAGCAACATTGTTAATTCTGTGCAGTTTAAAGTCTGAAGCTCTGTTTGATTCTGGACTCCATGGGGCTTTGCCAATTAGGTCTTTGGCAGTGTGTCAAGGGAGATAAAGGTGGGTGATTATCAGCCTTATCCCAAAGGACTGTTTACAACTATTTGGGACTCATCTGTGAATGAACGGAACTCACAGCTGTTAAAATAAAACAGTTTTTTGGGACTACTCGTGTGTTTTACTGACTCAAGAAGCCTAGGTCAGAACATCACCATCTGAATGGGAAGGGGGAGTTAAGTGGTATCCCAATGTGAAATCACTGCAGGGAGGAAACATCATAGTCCAGACTAGGAAAGCCTTTTCTTCTTGTTCCCAAGGAAATGAAGCCAAACTGGTGAGATTTTTTTTAATATTGGTGATGAACAATGAAGTAACTATGTTAGCCTATTCATGGAGTGTTCTGGTTCCTTGTGCTTGACATTCAAGTGATGTCACTACTGCATTGCTTTATCTTTTCCAGATTTAGACTATTTTAAGAAAAAAAAATATGTCTTGCCCAATCAGAAAAGACAACTCAAGTGACACACCTCTCCTGTATACGTACCAACAGGGTTCTGAAAGAGCTTCTTCTGTAACACTTCTCTGTAAACTCGGAAGTTCCTATTCAACATTCCTCAGCTATTCATTCAATTACTATGTCATTTAGGAGTGTTAAAATTAGTACCGATTAATTGCATAAAGTAAGCTAATAGGAACTACAGTACTGCATATACTTCAGCCACATACAATCATGTGTTCTCAACACCTTGCACTGGTTAACAGACTAGCCAATATATTCAAGGGTAGGTCTATATAAAATTTACTGCTGTAGCCAACATGGGATGCAACCAAGATGCAGACAACTGTTGCCAATTTGACTAGTTCAGAAAGAGCAGCACCAAATATAGAAGTGTAGTTATTCTTATCACAATCATAAGTTGAAAACCCAGTGACAGTTCCCAGGCTATAGACCAGTTCTTTTGGAGAAAGTGTAGTTTCATTGAAAACTGGCCTCAGAACAAGATTTCTATTCATATTTGGATTTCGTGTCAGCCCTTTTCTGAAATCAGATAATGTGGAAGAGTAGAGTTTTCTGTCACTGGTATACCAATAGCAGTCCATTCCAAAACTCTGAATGACCTTTGCCACTGGCTTCATATAAATATTAAACAGCAAGTGATAAAATATGGAATCCTAAGACATTATGGATCAATGGCCTAGGTGTTGAATAGGAGGCCCCAACATCAGTTTCTGGATATGGATGAAAAGAAAGGCATGCAATCAAGATCATTCCAACCAGCCAATTCAAGAAGATACTATGTCAGGGTTATAGAATATCACAGATTGGTCAAGGAGAATCCACAGGCCACATTTTCCCTATTCTGGAATAGCTCAGGACAACCAAAGCAATCATAGCATCTCAGCTGAAAGCATAATTAAAATAAATTCAGATAATCAACATTATCCAGATATATTCTAGAGTTACAAGACTACCAAAGTAGCATTACCTATTTGGTAAAATGGATTTACTTTGACACCAGATAATTGTCAGATGAATCCAAACTGCTAAACATTTTCAGAGTTTACTTCGTTCCACCGTGAGAAGTGTCAGTTTATACATTTCTTCCCTTGTCATCAGAAGAAGTCTGCCTATCTCGTTTCCTATGTAGTTTCTTAGTCAAACTGAAATTTGTTCCATCCCATGTTCCCATTTACAAATAGTTTTAAATAGGGTACAAGAACTCTATTTCTCTCCAATTTGTAAATATTCCCAAATGTTCATATGCACCCAACAATGCAATCTACTTACAGTTATGGCAGGTTGTTCCAGTATAACCAGTTTCATTACAATCACAGAAGAAAGTTGTCCAAGATTGGGAACATTTTCCTCCATGTTCACAGTAGTTTGGTAAACATCTAATTGGGAAGACACCAATAAAACAAGGAGCTTTAGTTTAAGCAGAATACAGATGGGGAAACAAATAACTTTTTTGCTTTACATTTCTCTAAACTTCTATATTTGGCATAGAAATTGGGGGGGGGGAATCACCTTAACTCTGTTCTTAGCTTAAAACAAATACTTTCAGAAAAACAGCTTGCAGGGAAGAGATATAATTCAGAAGGGATCCCAAATTGATACTAAAATACAGGGCAATGGTTTGAGAGTAGAGAGCCACTTTTCTTCAGTATCCAAGCAACAATAATGCATATTTTATTCTTTCAGATAAGAGGAATGGATAGCAGGTGAAAAATAGCACACAACCTTTTAACAGGACTTTTCTTTTTAATATTACTTTTTTCAATTCTCACTGTAATTTCAGTTGATCATATCAGCATCTAGCTATATTTACTTGCTCTTTGCAAACACAAATGGTCTATGAGTAAAATGACTTTAAAAAAAAGAATCGTATTATGAATAGAATGCTTCCTCATTCTTTAGCCTTTATATTTTCACAATGAAAGCATTGAAACAGTATGAGCAAAGGGTAGGAAGATAACAAAACACTGGGTAGTTGGCCTAAGCACTGGGTAAAAAGCTCAGAAAGAGCTCAATTCAGCTATATGAGCCGTGGTGGCGCAGTGGTTAGAATGCAGTACTACAGGCTACTTCTGCTGACTGCCTGTTACCAGCAGTTTGGCATTTCAAATCTCCCTGGCTCAAGGTTGACTCAGCGTTCTATCTTTCCAAGGCTGGTAAAGTGAGGACCCAGATTGTTGGGGGCAATATGCTGACTCTGGAAACAACTTAGAGAGGGCTGTAAAAGCACTTTGAAGCGGCATATAAATCTAAGTGCTACTGCTTTATGAACATGGTCACAGATTCTACTCTCTGCATTTAGTTATACTGCTGAAGCTTAAAACTGGATTTCCCGACCTAATTTAAACCTAATAATAAATGTTCCTGAAATATAAGTGGAGACAATTTTGCTCCAGTTATTTTCTGGTAAGAATTTGAACCACAAGGGGAACATATCCATAGCCAGTTTCATGAGACAATAAAAAGTATGTTGTGTCAGTGTGCTCTGTCTACGTAGCCAGTCCCTACTCAGTAACAAGGCTAGAATATGTGAGGTGTCCAATACTTTAAGATTCATAATTGATGGATTTCCAAGCTGGCAGAAAAAATATCCACCAATCGCTCCCCATAATGTAGTGAAGTCTATGGAGGGAAGTAAGTCTTGACAATTGCCTTCTATCAGAACCTTTCTAGTTTACTCTAGAGATGTGGTCTACAATTTTGGTGCTAATATTGTTGAAGGAGCTAAACTACATCCAAACTGTTTTCAATAGCAACTGTGGTACAGTTATTGCTAAAGCAAAAACATGTCTTCCAGTGTAAGGTTAAAGTGTAAGATCACTAGCCTCTGCTGGGGCCTGTCAGCCGCCAGCCCCTCCAGCAGCCGAATCAGAGGAGGAGGTGATGTGGGAGTCAGGGTCAGTATCAGGGCAATCTGGGAGCTCCAAGGGGGAAGAGGGAGTGGAGCTGGCAGAGAGAGAAACAGAGGCGGAGCCTTGGCTGTCCGTCAGCCCTCAGATGGAGAGTCAACAGCCCCCAAGTCTGGAGGTGGTTGATGAAGAAGAGGGGAACAGCTGGGTCCAGTGCCTGACATGTGGCTGTGCAGAAGGCAGAGAAGGGGAGAGCAGTGGAAAGACATGGGCCGATCCTGGGGAAGGAAGACCCATCGCTGCTAACAAGGCCCCACCCTAGCTCTGGGGATAAAAGGCAGGGGAAGAGATGAATAGGTGAGGCAGACAACTATTCATCTTCTGGCTGGATGGAATTGTTAGTCTGTGAGATAAACTTTTTGCCTGGGCTGCTGGCATTCTGAATAAAGAAATCTTTTGAGTTCATGTCAGAGGGTTTGTTGTGTTTGGGGAGCTGGGTCAGAACAGCCTCCTCATGAAAGCAGAACTCTTGAAATGAACAACATTTCAAAAGGAACTTTTATTGGAAGACAGTGATAGAAGAGAGAGTGAAGGCAGAATCTGAATTGCGTGCGCTGGAGTGTTTGTTTAAATCACTCCATTTGAGGCCCCTCCCAATGTCCAGTTCATCTTTGAGCCAATCCCAAGGTGCAAAGATGTTCTGAGAACTTCAGGCTGAGAAGGTGATAACAGGCAGTTCCCAGGCACCACAATCTCCGCCCCTCCGATGGTGAGACCAAACAGATGGCTGAAAGCACATACCTTCCCCTCTCCCAACATCCCCAAAGGTACATCAAAGCAGAGAAAAGGAACAAAGAAAACCACATGCAAGTGTAACCCCAATTCTCCCCCCTCCCACCAGAATAGCAAAGTCCCGATAGAGATCTGTGGGACCTGACATCCAGCTCTAGTAACCTTCTGTAATCTGAACTAGCACTTACAGAGATCCTGGCCTACTACTTTCTCTAGTGATACAAAGAGGTTGTTTCTCTAGCAGCCTTGGTTTTAGTAGATTAAGGAGCAGCTCAGAATTTATCTAAGCCTTTAGAGATATCCTGGTTTATGGGTGTTTCTAGCAATGTTGGTACTGCTGCTTTTCTCCTGGTTTCATGCCAGGAAGCAGCAAAAACTGAAATAACCATGAAGCAAAGTTGGCAGCAACTGAAGGGGATAGGATATGCCTACAGATTCAGAAACTGAAAGCAGCCAGTAGGAACTGCTGCGTTATTACATGGTGACAGCCATATCACGAAAAGAGCAAGGCATGTATTGAGAGAGTAAAGAAACCACATCAGAGCTGGTCAATTAACTTTGGTTGTGGGCAGTAGATAGGGGAAAGCTGCAGTGTATGGAAGTGTCCTTCAAGGATGGTTAGACATATATGTTCAGACCAAAGCTAGGGGAAAGTTTAGCTATGCTCTCAGGGATTTATTTATTTTTAATGCATGTGAGGGATGTAGTGGAGTTATTTCTGAGGTTGTTTTTCATGCCTTTCCTTTCCCAGGACTGAGTTGCTTTTTTATCTTTCTTTAACTGCCCCTTCATAATTTTCTGCATAATCATACAGACAACTTGTTAGATTTGTCCAGTACACCTACATGAAATTTTAGGTTACCTTTTAATAATAATAAAAAAAAATAGCTATTAAAACATATGTCTCTTTTACATCAAATTAGTATGGAGCAATTATGTAATCTTAGTTTTTATCCTGAGTATGGGCTAATTAATCCTTATGGAAGCCAAGTCAACGCTAAAGGAACAAATTAGGAGCAATCATTGTCAGTATGGTAAAACCAGTGTTCCTTAATTATATTGCCAAATGTTAGATTCTGCAAGTCTTCCATTAAACCCTAATCCTGAGAATTTATTAGATTTGTCCAGTATACCTCAATGAAATTTTAAGTTATCTTTTAATAAGGCAATGGCTATTAACACACAGTTACCATTCTCTTTGCATTCCTTGTTTTCTCCAATTACTTCCAAATTTGAGGATAATAACGTTCAGTTTTATATTCTTTATTTTTGAAGGGATGTTAACACTTCACTTACATTTCAAGTTGCAAAAGACCTTTACCAAGCCATACAATTGTACAATTGATTTGGATGTGCTACATATTTTTTCATGACATTCTTTTTTTTCTTTTTTTTCTTTTTTTTTGGGTAAAGGGTTTTTTGCAGAAATCTACTTTGATTTTTCTCATCTATAATGCTGGTTAAAATCCATAATAAAAAATTACTACTAATAGGAAAATGACTGAAATTCATAAATTTCATCATAAATAGGACAAAAAAATGGAAGGTGGGAAAAAGCAGCAACACCACAGTCCATTCCTATTTCTGGATACAAAGAAAAGATATACACATACACATACATACCTAAATTATGGACTTCACCTCTTCCCCCTTTAAACCCATTCCTAATAAAAAGTTGTGAAGAAGCACTGTTTGTCAGACTCAAGAACAAAGGGCCAGATGAAAGAATGGCTGGTGCATGATAGCATGGGCAAAAAATATTGGACATACAATAGAGTTAGATAAATGGCAGCAGTTATGGAATAGAAATTATAAGTTAACAATGTCAACTGCATACAAGGAGAATCTGTACAAGATGTTTTACAGATGGCATTTGTCACCTGAAAGACTGGCAAAAATGTTTAAAGATAAATCAACTAAATGTTGGAAATGTCATCAGGCACCAGGATCGTATTATCAGATGTGGTGGACAAGAATTTGTATGTGGTTGGAGAAGATGACGCAGCAGCACATTGATTTAACACCTGAGATATTCCTGTTGGGCATTTTACCAGGGAACTATAGTAAAGAAAATTACTTGATTATTCATGTAATAACTGCGGCTAGAATTGTATTCGCATAGAATTGGAAAGGTGAAGAGATTCCTGCAGATGAAAACATGATTAAGAAAATATTGGAATGTGCAGAAATGAGTAGATTAACACTTGCAATTAATGGAAAAGAAGAATCTGATTATTACAATATATGGGATTTATTTTATCAATGGATAGAAAATAAATATGAAAGTAATGTATAATAAAGTCAAATAAGTTAAGATGAGAAATGTTATGATAATAGATATGTTAAGTATTAAGCATTAATATTAAAATAAGAGTAGATATAAATAATGAATATAGTGGTAAGCTTTAACTGTTATGACACAAAAAATTTGTACCCAGACGACACACTGTTTAATGAATGATGGAATGTTTTGTATTAAAAGAAAATTTAAATTTTTTTAAAAAGAAACAATGGCTGGTGCTATAACTTGTTTTTGAAATGAAAGTTTTAAATGATGTGGTAGAGATGATGTAACTTGGAGTCACAGGAGGGAAGGACTCTTTCCCAGAAGGAAAAGGGACAGCAGAGCTTGGAATATCTGGAAGACAGGAAGAGGCTGAAGGTAGACTCTCCCTAACAATTTACAGAGTATAATTAACAGCTATGCAGATAGTTGCTTTAGAGTGGCAAGTGTAGGA